TACTGCAATTCATACCTTAAAGGAACTACAGTGAAATGTTATGGAATAAAAACCAAATTGATAAAAATAACTTTTAGGGGGAACCAGCAGTTAGCGTAATGGCTATGTCGCTGGACTCCCACCCACATAGTTGACCGCAGTTCACGTCCCGGACCCGGTGGCTTAAAACTCACGCCGGGCACGTGTGCGTGCGTGCCCAAGATCCTGAGAGGAGCATGGAAGAGAAGGGATTGCGGTGTGACCATCCCCCTTGGGGGGTGATTTCTCGCTTTCTGTCTCTAATGTCTCTCTTTGTCTGGCGAGCGCACGTGCCCTATAGCAAAAATCTCTCCAAAAAACCCCCAAAAAACAAAAACAAAAAAACAAAAACAAAAAACAACTTTTAGGGGCTGGCAGGTGGCGTGGTGGTTAAAGAAGATGCTGGACTCCCACGACTCGAACTGTGGTTCAAATCCCAGACCTGGCGGCTTACTTTCTCTCTCTCTCTGTCCCTCTTTGGTCAAATTAAGACAAATAAATAAATAAATAAAGTTAAATAAAATAATTCTAAAAAAATTTTAATGCTCATGAATAGGCTAAAAAGCTACATATATATAATCTGCAAATAATGAATTATTAGAAACAAATTTTTAAAATGGGTGTTGCAAAATTTGAAAAGATTTAAGGAAAAAATGAAAAAAGGTAAAAGCCAACTTATATTTAAGCAAAATATCTTGAAAAATAAGGAATATCTGGGACCAAACTGTTGGTGTAATGGCTATGTCGCTGGAATCCCATGCAGTCGAACGTGGTTTGAGTCCTGGACTCAGTGGCTTACACTCATGCAGGGCGTGTGTACATGCATGCCCAAGATCTCGAGAGAATGGAGGAGAAGGGATTGCAGCGTGGCTATCCCCCTGGGGGCTGATTTCTTGCTTTCTGTCTTTGTCTCTGTCTTTGGGGCGAGCGCCCGCACCCTATAGCAAAAACCTCTCCAAAAAAATTAAAAAAAAAAAAAAGGAATGTCCTTTCAAAGACATTGCAGTAGTTTATATTACTGAATCCACTTGAATAAGAGTAAATGTAATCTTAAAATGTCTAACAGAATGATGTAGTAATGAGATTAGAAGATTAAACATGGCTTTACTTAGAGACCTTATATGACTCTTTCACTCCTATTCTAATGAATGATTTTTTAAAATTTTAATTTATTATTATTATTATTGCTATAGTCATCAGAGAGAGAGAGAAAGTGAGACAGCAAGCCGCCAGGTGCAAAAACTCTAACAGTGATTGGCCATGTTGGGAGTCTAACGCTGCAATCTGTAATCACAACCACCATGCCACCTGCTGGCCCCATCTAAGGAGTGATTTCCAAACTACTAGGTAAGGATTCCTAAGAATTTTTTTTAAATGCAGATTCCCTGGGGCCAGTAGGTGGTATGGTGTTTAAGGTGCTGGATTCCCACATTGCCTACTGCGCTTTGAGTCCTGGACCTGGCAACTTGCTTTCTCTCTCTCTGTCTTTCTGGTGAGTGAGTATGTTCTATAGCAAATTTAAAAATAATAACAATAATAAATAAAATAATAAATAAAATAAAAGTAATTCTTTAAAAAAATGCAGATTCCCTACAACCCGTTCCAAAAATTTTGAATTTATAAGATTTGTGGTAGGGACCATGAATCTACCTTTTTAAAAAAAATTTTTTTTTGCTATAGGACATGTTCTGCTTGCCAGAGAAGAGATAATAAAAAGAAGGAAAGTTAAAAATCACACCTAAGGGGGTATGGCCATACCACAATCCTTCCTCTTCTATTCTCTTCTTGGGATTCTGTACACATGAGCACATGCATTCAGGGATTCAAACTCTAGTAGGTCATGTAGGATTGGGGCCTTAATCACCACACCATCTACTGACCTAGGAATCTACACATTTTAACAAGCCTTCAAAGTGACTTCATTCTAAGCGGCCAGGGATAACACTGAGAAATTTTGCAGTATTTTAACTCAACTAAGATCTTCGATTTATAAACAAGGTAAGCTAAATCGACCACAGTTAAGTGCCTTACTCAAGTTTAGAGTTCCCCATTTCTGCCAGACTGACAGCGTTGTCTTCTTCCAACCCTGGGCTTTTGTTGTTTCACAAGCCTCTCTATCTTGCTCCTTCCCACTTTCAAAGACAACTTTGTAATAGGCCTTTTATGCCTACTGGGCCTTACACTGGGGCTGTGATGTTAATTCTTCCAATGTTTCTTTTTCTACAACTGGAATAAAGAGCTCCCTGGGGGAGAAACTGGGCTTTTTACTTCAGTATTCAACTCATAGTGAGCCATATGAATATTGTATCCCTTTCTACTACCTGCAATTTGTAAGCAGTGTCTTACATTTCTCCAAGTACATACTTAGCATAGTGCAAGGTATATAATGAGTACTAAGTAGCAGCTTTTATTTTTCAGCCCTGCAAAGCAGAGTTTTCTAACTGTGGGTCATGCCACACAATCAAATGTGAAACCAATTTAGTGGATCACAAATAATATTAAAGAAAACAAACAATATGTTTGAGTGTGTGTGTACTACATAAAAATATTTCTTACTGTGGGTTGTAGTCAAAAAAATCTGAAAGCCACAATTCATAAATTTTGTAACTGATGTTTAAGCTAAACTTCTCCATTATATCTTCAACATATTTTCTTACCCAGCTAACTTTCAATCATCCAGTCTTCTCATTCTCACTCTCCAATCTTCAAAGCAAGTACTAGGTATATTTATTCATTTATACTTCCAGAACTCAAATGAAAAGGGGAAGGAGGTAAATCCTGATCTGACGGGCATTTTTCACAGTAAATGGATTCACTGGTGTCTGTGTTCCTTCTTCAGATGAGTCATTTGAGTGTTATGATGCACTTTGGAGGGGCTCCTGGAGCCCGGATCGCTTGACTCAAGTCCATCGGAAATTCTAGATGTTCCAAATAGGGCTCTGAAATGTTCACAACCTGGTTTATTCACACAGGGCTTAGGTTTAACACGTGGGGTTTTCAGGATGACCTTCTTTCCTTACTTTGGTACCAGGTTCTCTAGTTCTACTATAAAATTACTTTTGGGTAGCTCTGGATGCTCTCAACAAAATTATAAACTACGAGGGGACATCAAGAAGTTTGTGGGAAAAAAATGGAAGTAAAGTATGAATTTATTTGGTGCAAATTTTAAAAAAGTCTGTGCATGGTTCTTTTAAAAATAATATTCCTTTTCGGGGACCAGCAGTTAGCGTAATGGCTATGTTGCTGGACTCCCACGTAGACGACTGCGGTTCACGTCCCAGACCTGGTGGCTTAAAACTCACGCCAGGCGCGTGTGCGTGCGTGCCCAAGATCCTGAGAGGAGAATGGAGAAGGGATTGCGGCATGACCATCCCCCCTGGGGGGTGATTTCTCGCTTTCTGTCTCTATGTCTCTGTCTGTCTGGCGAGCGCACGTGCCCTTTAGTGAAAATCTCTCCAAAAAAAAAAAAAAAGAAAAGAAAAAAATAATATTCCTTTTCCATGAACTTTTGAAAGACCCACCCGCCCCCTCAATATTTTCTCTTTTCCTAGCCGAAGGTTGTACTCACACTGACAGAGTCATGTATACCAAACTTAACAGGTTGTGTATGTACATGACATCTTAATCAGTAGGAAAAACAGGTATCCACGTCCTATAATGTACTAACTGTGACCTATCACATCTCCAAAACAGTTTTCTTTCTGTACTGCTACCAAAAATACTCTCATTAGATTGAACTCAAACCCAACTTCTTCTGGTAACTTTCCAAAATCCCTCCAGTGAAATTTATCTTCCACCCAGGAAACCTCAATAACACTGTTCACACCTCTATAAGCCTATCATTCCATGCAATCTTATAATTATTTATGACACTGTCTCCTATGCTGGTCTCCACGACTGACTTTCTGACTACTAACTATGCCCTTCCTACTGCCCACCAAACACAAGCGTGCACTCCACATAGTAGGGCCTTTATTGCTGCTTGCTGAATTGTACTGAAAGGTGAACAGTGGATATAAAAATAAATTCAGTGAATATAAAAATAAGAGCCATTTCTAGTTCTGCACACCCCATAGTCTCAATTTGCTTAACTGGAAAGTATTTTTTAAATTTGTAAAACTACAGTAGATAGGAAAGGAGAAAAACATGGGGAAATGGCAATAAAGGATGCAGGAGTAAAACATGAAGGCCTAATGAAACAGATGTGTTGCCCTCTGCACTTGCACGCGTGGACCAGAACAGCTTGGTGCCTCTTAGACTTCACCATTCTGCCCTGTCATTCCCTTTCACTGTCTCAAAACCTCCCGCACCACGAGGTGTACAACAGACCACGTCTCTGAACCTGCCTTAAGCCTTTCTCATAGGACCACATACCCCAAAGTACATTAAGTAACCTATTCCCTCTTGTCATGCTCCTGTTCAGGTCTCCATTGGCCACATTCACCAGAACAAGAGTGGGAAACCATTTCCCTAGAACAGTCCCAAATAAAATGGAAGCACGTCTAGACCTGGGCTCCTCTAATCCTCTATAAGCTCCAGAGTTTTTAGGTCATCGCATTTCTTCCACGCTACCGTCAATATGAGTGAAGACAGACATCTGTCTTCCAGGTGCAGTCTGCACAACTTCCCAACAGCACCTTAAGGGCCCTTTACCCTCCCTTCACAGGCAGATACCCTTTAGGCCTCAGGAAGGCTGGTATGTCATCCTGGCGGTCAAGGTTCCCGGAGATGTCGTGACCTCTGGGCACTCAATTATTTAAGGATCCCCGGACCTGCTAACTTCCTTCTTCGAAACTGGGTTTCCCGGTCCGTCCTATACTTACTGAGCTTCTCCCATTTCCTAATTAACATGTCCACCGATCACTCCCTCCTCACTCTGGGAGATCTGCGTCTCGGCTCTCCACTAACCTCACTCTTCTCCCTTCCCCGCTGGGGCTCGGCCTCCCCTCGCCCCTACTCCACCGCCGCTCCTCCCTACTCACTTTGGGCTTCTCCGGCAGTTTCTTTCGGTTCTTCTTCTTCTGCTCTTCGCCTCTAAGATTCTTCAGCAGCGCTAGGTCGTCAGAGGCCGGGGTCGGCTGGGCGGCCGCCTCCTCCCGCTTGCGCGGCGGGTTCCTTCGCTTCTTGCGGGCGCCGGCGCAAGCCGCGGCCCAGCCGTAGCCCAGCAGGAAGAGCAGCAGCAGCCCGAGCGCGCCTGTACCCACCAGGATCACCCAGCCGGGGTACCGCTTCGGCTCCAGCCCCCGGTCGAGGCCCCGCTC